GGCAGAAAGAGATCTAGGGGTTATAGTGGACCACAAGCTAAATATGAGTCAACAGTGTGACGCTGTTGCAAAAAAAAGCAAACATGATTCTGGGATGCATTAACAGGTGTGTTGTAAGCAAGACACAAGAAGTCATTCTTTCGCTCTACTCTGCGCTGGTTAGGCCTCAACTGGAGTATTGTGTCCAATTCTGGGCACCACATTTCAAGAAAGATGTGGAGAAACTGGAGAGGGTCCAGAGAAGAGCAACAAGAATGATTAAAGGTCTTGACCTATGAAGGAAGGCTGAAAGAATTGGGTTTGTTTAGTTTGGAAAAGAGAAGACAGGGGACATAGCAGCAGTTTTCAGGTTTCTAAAAGGGTGTCATAAGGAGGAGGGAGAAAACTAGTTCACCTTAGCCTCTAAGGATAGAACAAGAAGCAATGGGCTTAAACTACAGCAAGGGAGGTTTAGGTTGGACATTAGGAAAAAGTTCCTGTCAGGGTGGTTAAACACTGGAATAAATTGCCTAGGGAGGTTGTGAAATCTCCATCTCTGGAGATATTTAAGAGTAAGTTAGATAAATGTCTATCAGGGATGGTCTAGACAGTATTTGGTCCTGCCATGAGGGCAGGAGACTGGACTCGATGACCTCTTGAGGTCCCTTCTAGTCCTAGAATCTATGAATCATTCCCCTTAATCTGTGGTCCTTCTGACACTTTTCAATGTCTCAATTTTTATGGACCGTTTCATTCATGTGCTTTACTAATATCCAGCTATTCCAGCTACTATGTTTCATTTAGCTCATTTTGTGCTTTGCGTAATCAAGTCTCTCCAGAACTATTTTTATAAATAGAAACTTTCCATATTATGGTTCCATCATCCTCTAGGGATGCAACTACACTAAGACTTTTAGCCAATTCTCCCACTATGTCTAGTACCTGTACCACCTCACCAAAACTAGCAAAAATGGGAGGCTGACCACTTACATTCTTACCAACTTGTCTTCTAAGCCTGCTCAGAGTAGGTCTAGTTAACATGGTGCCAAAACCACTGGGTGACCAGTCTACACTAGTGCTCCTACCATTTCAAACTCTGGTGGAGCTGCACAAGGGCTAGAGAAAGGGTGGGAGAACTGCTTTAAATTCTCAGTGTAGACTAGGCCTCTGCTCAGATTCTCACTATAATTGTATTAAGGGCCTGTAGCTAGTTTTACTGGTTGCAACTACCAGGATTACTTTTTCCCTCTTTTTTTGTGTCCCATGTGCTGTTTGTTGTTTTTTAAACTCTTGGTTTCCTCCCCAGTTCTCTAAGACTCCCACTCATTGATTCAGAAAGTGAATTAATTAATTCCCTTTACACTGAGATACAGATTATTCAGAGCATTTGCTTAAGTATGTGTTCATTTTCCAAATAGTTCAAGATTCTCATGGATCAATTGTCCAAACTTCTTATTAAAACCAGATTTAAAACAATTCAGTATCTCAGTTGCTTTAGAATCACAATTTCACCTTTTCCGCTACTATTTTCACTTTTATATACTTGTAAGCCTTCTTGTTCTCTGCTACTCAGTCTTAACATATTCCTTTTATTGCCCTTTCCTTTTGCCTGTAAACCTTCACTTTCTGGGGTTCCTTTCCTCTCCAGTTGTAGCGTGTGTGCTCCCAAAGAACAACTTGATGGTTGTGTGTTGTGTATTTTTGTGTGTCCCATGTACATAAGGCCCAAGTGTGGCAGGTACAATTAAAGTCTGAGCATTTGTGTCTGGTGATTTCCAGACAACCAATCCTAAAGTGTGGGAAAGCGAGTTAGTGAGCACCACCCAGACACCACACAAGGAGAAACAGGATACATTTCATTCTATCACTGAAAGATACTAGATGAAAGCTCTGGTCTTCATGGATCAGTCTATCCCAAAGCCTCCCACCTTGATAGCTGTGACAACACAGCAGAATTTCCATTATTAAATGCTGACTCCATCAGGACTCTTGGGGTTACTTTCGCCAGCAGATCTTTGAATAGTGTTTCATGAAACTATTCTAGTTGCTGCTTATTATTTGCATTCTTCTCTCAGCAGCATTGTGACCTGTTGTGTATTAATTAGAGTGCTTTTTAGGATTCTCCAACTTTCTTGTACACTAGCAGATTTTAATGTTTCCTCCCAGTGCTCTTTATTCACTAGATTTCTTTATTCTCCACAATTTGCTTTCTTGCAATCTAACTCCCTTGTTCTGCTGTGTTCAGCAAATCCAAAGAATACTTCCAGGCTTTCTGATTTCCTGGTGCGTTTCTCCCTTTCCGGAATCACAGACATCCATGCATGACCCCTGTGAGGTGGAGAAGAATTATCATCTCTGTTTTACAGATGGGAAACAGATGCTCAAAAGAGAGTTAAGGGATGTTACCAGAGCTGAGAGTTGAATGCCAGGTCTGTGTCTCCCAGGCTTGTGTGCTAACCACAGGGCAAGATTCCCAGCATCCCCAAACCTGGGTGAAGCTTTCCCCAATTCAGAGCCACTCATACACATACCACAACCGAGAAGGACCATTTTCAAATAATTTATTAGGAATTTAAAACTGAAATCTGGAAAAAGGGTTACAGGTGTGGAGAGAACAAACATTGGAGTGTAATAACTTACTGGCTTCAAAACATAGCTTTATTTCTTTTTAAAAAATGCCCACCCTCAAACCGGAGCCCCAGCCTCTGGGCAGCAGCAGCACTGGCTGGAGAGCGAATCACAGCCCAGTGGCAATACAGTGGGGCTGGGAGGTGTGTGGAAGGGGGCACAGAAGCAGCTCAGCGCATGTACCAAGAGGGAAGAAAGCGCTGTCTGCAGACCCAAATTTGACGTATACAGAATAAAAATAAACCCAATACAATGCAGCTCTTCTTTAATTAGGAAATATTAAAAAAACCCAGACATACAGACTCTTGTCTCAGTAACAAAAATTATTGCTTTGTGTTTTCAGTACTAACCCATTAAGTACCTCTTACTAAACAGAGCTCTCCAAATGTATTGCTTGGTCAGGCACGGCCCACACTGCTGGGTCTCAAAACTAGCCACAATGCAGCTAGGGAAGTGGAAGGGAAGAAGGGGTCCATTTGGGCACCGTGGCCTCCCTCCAATCCTCTCACTTACTGGGGCTCATTTTGGGAGAAGAGAGGGAATGATTTTTAAAACTTAAGATGAAGCTACATTATTTCCCTGGGAAAAGTGTTGGGCTGCATCTTAATAAAAGGCTTAATCACCCCCCTTAACAAGGTCTTTGGTTCACTTAAAACAAATCCAGACCCAAACCTGCCCCTTAAATTCCTGCTTGAGGCAACCCCCCAGCAGAGGCCACTTGTTAACAAGGGCTTGGGCAGCCTCAGGAGAAGGGACCATATAATCAAATTACAGGACAGAGGATGAACTCCCACAGATTTCAGGACACAGAGGAAAGCAAATGGGAAGCTGTGATTCTAGAATTCATATCCCTGAGAAGCCCTTGACTCACCCTTCCCCCATACAGTACCACCCCCAGTGCTTTTCCCTCCCTAGTTAATGACTTCCCCCACCCAATGCCCTGCCCTTCAGAGAATGACCATCCCCACATCCCACCCCTGACAACGAGCCCTTCCCAGTACCCTGCCCCCTAGAAGATGATGCCCTTCCCCAGACCTTCTTGACACAAGCGATACTGTTTGGAGAGTCAATTCCTTTCAAAATAACAAAGACAAGCAGGGGCAGTAAAGCCCTTTGCCTAGCCAAACCAGATGCTGGCACTTAGGGAGCCCAGTGGTTGGAGTCTGTACATCAAGCGACTGGAAGCAGCTTTAACCCGCTCAGCAAAATAGCCGATGGCCGGTAAGTTTCATTCCCCTCTCTCCCCCCTTCATCTCAGAGGTCTTAAAATCTTACAGTAAAAGGTGTACAAAAAAAGAAAGGAGTCCTGTCAGGATTCTGCTGGAGAATATTGCTCACACTGAGGTGCCAGGTTCAGGAACCTGGAGCTGCTCCTTGAGTCAGGCTGCAGCCAGGTTCACCTCACGATATTTACATATTATACACTAGGAAAAAGAAAACCCCACGTAAAACTAAATCTAGGAAAACAAAAATACTTTCAGCTGTAAGGGTAGTGTTTTTACTTAGCAAAATATACATTTTGTTTTGTTCTGTAGCGATGTCCCACCTTTTCAGATCCTTGGAGCTTCACACATTTCAAAACCTCACATTTACAAAACAGAAACAATTAAAAACAGTTTCTTAAAAATAAAAAAAAAAAAAAGACGTCAGTTCTGCTCAGCGTTCTCGCTCTCTCTGTGTCTCTCTTCCCTTCAGAACTGCATTCACATCACATACTGTCCTTTAAAAATGTTGACAACAACAGAGTTGAAAAGATTCAAAACAATTTCAAAGCCAAATAAAAATACTCATTAAAAACTACCTAACACGATCACAAAGCCAATTCATAAAATATGTCTACTAGCTCAGGAAAGAGCAAACAACGAAAAAGAGGGTCACCCCCCCAAAAAATAAAGATAAAAAAATAAAATAAAAAATAAAACTACCAGCTAATAAAATAAATAAAGAAGAATCGGTGGGTTGGGGGAGGGAGAAGCGTAAACCATCGGTGGTTAGTAAGAAAGCGAGATGATCTCCTTGGGTTCAGTCCAGTGTGGTCTGTTCAATGGGAGAGATCAGGGCAGGTCAGCAGGAGCCTGGCAGCCAGCCGGCAGTGTGCAGTTTTATTCAATAAAAAGGAAACCTTGGCTCATCCTCCAAGGCTCACCAGATCCTCCAGCCCGCTGTCCTTGGTTAGGTCACTGGGGAATCTGCAGGAGACCAGCAGAGGTGGAGAGTACGGGGGGGTAGAGGAGACAGAAACAAAAAAAAACCCTAACAACTTTTCAGTTTTTTGTCTTGTCTAACACAGCAACAGGAGGTGTCCAAACTTCCCCTAATGCAGGATTGTGCTGGCACCTTGGCAGTGGCATGAAGATCGCACCTGACTGGCAAAGAAGTGGGGAAGAATGCAACTGTCCCCATCTTTAACATGAACGTGTGGGCCAAAGGGACAAGCCCCAGCATGCAATGCAGCCTGACTTCTTGGATCAAGGAGTACTAAATGCTAAGATCTGCAGGCTCCCTGGGTCAAACTTCTGTATTAAAGATGAGGCTAGTTATATGCTGCAAACTGAACTCAAGTTATCCCTGGTTGAAGAGAAGCAGCCCAGTCACTCCCTTTCCCTGGAAACATCTGCCCTACTCATTTCAGTCACATTTCTCTTTTTAAACTACCCAACTTCTGCCACTTTTGAGGAGTGCACCGAGACCCTCCAACAGCTCCCCCTTACCCCCTTCTAAGGGACACAGCTGGAACTGCACGTAAGATTTTCCCCTCTCCATCTGGATGTGGAAGCCTCTTTTCTCTCCACTGACCACCTCCATGGAGAGGATACACCACTCCAGAGATGCAGTGAGATTTACCGAGTTAGCTGCATGCAGGGTAGTGCAAAGTAAAAGGATGGGAGGGGCTTCTCTTTCAGAGTGCAGGTGCGAGAGCTCACATTACCTTAGGATTTTGGCCAACTGTACCTGTCTGTCTCCATCAACTCCCCTATTTCTACCAGGTCTCTGTTTCCCTCACTCCACACCCTTCCAACTGAGCGCTCCCCCTTCTCCCTGCCACCACTGGGGCACAGCCAATTATTCTTCTGGCCTCAGAAACCTGGAAGAGCTTCCCTTTAGAGCCCAACAGCGACACTCTAACTGGCCAAAGAGGTTACTCAAGCAAAACACCATTTCCTTTCCCTTCCTGCCCACACTCAATGGAATCCCTCTGCAGCACTTCAAGCTTGGGGACCAGAGACTGGGACAAGGAATTAGAACCTGGGTCACTGGGTGGACAGGACAAAAATGCAGCCCCTCGCCTGGCCTCCTTGCTCTCATCTTCAGATGAAGCCCCTGAACGTTGGCCCAACCAATAGGAAACTCTCAGTGTAATTTAATAATAAAATCCCCTCCTGAGCCTAGCTTCACTCCTCTCACACCCTTCCCGCCCCTTCCTGTTCAAACATCTTACCTCCTGCCTCCTTGGTCGCTAGCTTCAGTGGTACCCATTGGTAAAAGCCGTTGCAATCAAGGGACCCTACAGAGGAAGAATTCAAATCCCCTGATTAGACAAACCACAGGAAAGAGGTTGAGTCCATGAGTGTGATTTGTCCATCTGTCCCTCCCCCTCGTAGGAATTTACTGGGATGTCAATGACACAGCTCCCTAAATGTACTATTCCTAAGGACAGCCCTACCCCCTTTAGAGATCTGACTGGAATCATTTAGCCCCCCAATCCACTATGAGGAGGCCTCTCGGCACCCTGAGATTTACATGGAGTGATACAGTCCCACTCAGGAAACATGCCATCACTAGACCGTCTCTTCAGAGCCACTTAATATCCCCCAGCAGAATCCTATGGAATCCCCAGTCCTCGCCCAGCCGTAGCCCCACATTCCACAGGGAAACATGTAGCTAGCAGATATTTGCACTGCACTCTCCCCGTCCCTGTCCAGCCTTTTGTTATTCCCGGGGACCCCTGTGCGTTCTACCCTTGGAAGGGAGTTCTGTGTTTCATTCGGACGGTGAAGAATGGTTGTGGTCTTTCTGAACACTTACAGCGGTGAGTTCAGTCATGGCCCAGCTGGTGGGAAAGCGGTTTCCACTGCTCATGAGTCTCACCCTTGAGGTGCCAGTTCCATCGGCCCAGAGGAACGTAGCTGTCATGGCAGGCTATGATCAAAGTGAGGTAATAGGCCCTTGGGTAGCTTGGGCCAGTTCCATGGAGGGCTTTGAAGAGTAGGACCAAGCCCTAGCACTTGACTTGGTATTCAATGGGGAACCAGTGTAGAGAGCAGCTCTGGGGTGATATGCACTCAGCAGCCTGTTCTGTAAGCTAAGTAGGTTGCTGCATTAGGAACCAATTGGGGCCTTAAGCTGAGTGTTTTTATGCCTAGGAACTGTATATTGCAGTAACCAAGCCTTGAGGTTGCCTGTCATCATTTGGGTATTCATAGTTGTAGAAATCACCCTCCCAAAAGGTTTCATGATTTATACACATCCCACCTCCTTCTACCTCCCAACCTCAACAGCTGGGTGCGAAACACTCACCCCTAGGCTGTGACCAAAGCCAGTACTTGGAGCTGGACTCGCAGCACTGATGTAACTGCTGACCCCTGAATCCTGATTGGCTGCTCCGTAAAGCTCTGCCATTGGCCCAGGACTGGTAGTGCCCAGAAACCCACCAGTGCGGCTCGGAGTAGAACCTAAGGGAGGAAGCAAAACTACATGGTGAAGATCCCAAAATGCAACCCCGTCCCACCCCCCTCTCATAGCCCAGTGCAAACCTCAGCCAGGTTGCTTCACCGGGTAGGAAAGTGGCAGTTACCTGTCCCTCGCACTACAGCTGCTGCCGCCGCTGCTGCCGCCATCGGTCCATATGCAGTAAGGGGAATTGCTGAAAGAGAAGGAACAGGCATCTCATAGTGGCACCAGAGGAAGCTCCCGAGCAGGCATCTTCACTTCCCTCTAGGAAACAGCTGCCAAAAAGGTGCATTAGCTTGGCATGTTACCTACTACACTCAGGATGGATAAGCAGGAGGAACACACAGTCCTGCATTTACAGGACAGTTTTCATTTAGAAAAGCCCTCAAGCAACTGAGCTGACCAATTCCAGACACAGGAAATGTTCCGTTCAGGACTGAAACACAGCAACATCTGGGATGACACTGTTAAACCACAATATCACATGCCAGTTCAGGGCAGGAGGGGACTGAGAATCCCATAGCCAGGTGAACCGGCATGGGGAACTTAGGATGGCTATTGGCATTTGGCTCCAACCCTAAAGGCTAACACCCCAACTCCGGGGATTTTTGGTGGGCACAGAGGGTCAGTAGCTTGGTTTGACATCTCATTCAGAAGACAGCTTCAATGCTCAGCATCCGTTAGCAATGCTGGGGCACAGCACCCTTCTCTAGCACCTTTCAACAGCAATGGTTCAATACTCACGCAACCTCCTCCACCCCAGCTCTCCCACTGCTGCAGACACGCAATCCTCCCTATTTTTCCAGCTCTCCTGCCAATTGCAACCCCCCGGCTGTCCACGCTAGAAGAGTGTGGAGTGTGCGTCTGGGGGTGCAGAAGCCAGAAGAGGCACAATTAACACTGGAAGCCTTAACTTATATGTAGCAAATGTCGTCCATATTTCTACTGCCATGGGCACCCAGCCCTGAGGCCACAAGGCACCTACCCAGTACTGTTCTCATTGCCCCTAACATGCCTGGGTCAGCATTTCATGCTCTACTGCGAAATCCACTGTGATTCTGTTTAGAGCAATGTAAAAAGAGGTCAGAACAAATCGATTAAGTTAAAGGGCTGAAATCCAGACTAGCTCGGGAGGGAACGTTTCATTGCAGGCTTTGTCTGGTTTCAGGCATACATCACATGGGGGGCTTAGATCTGGGTTAGTGGCTTATCATAAGCACAGAGCTGCCAGTATTTTTCTCCCAAAGATGCTGTTGTGGTGAGTAAAGGGCCGTTTTGCTGAGAAAGAATCCAATTTCCTCTGTAGGAAAAAGATTTTTGCCTCGTAGTTTATCTAGTTAGAAACCAGTCTTCTGCCTTGCCTAAGAAGCTCCCATCTCATTAGCGGCTTCACACAGGAGCAGCACCTGATACTCTCAGAGTACCACCCTTCCTGTTTCAATGCTACTCAATACACCCCCTGCTGACGGTTTACATTTATAGAGCCACGTTCAGCCAGAAGGTTCCTGAAGCACTTCACAACCTACTGGCCTGGTCCTGCAAGGTGCTGAATGCCCTCAGTTCCCAGGGATGTCCCAGCAGGAGCTGCGGGAGCACATACATTGTGGGAGCAAGCCCAAGGCGTGCACATGAATCGAGCACCCACCACTGACAACAAGTTGCCCAGTGACTGTTTAACAGCCCCCAGCAGAGAAGTGAGGAATGCCACCATCTCCAGCTGAAATTCTGGGGGGAATCTAGGGACAGAGGTTGTAATTACTCAACGTGGCAGTTAGCCAGGACACCAGCATTAATAGTTCACTGCTGGCAAAAGTACCAGTGTGTCTCTAATGAGCTCCAGTGAGCAGGACTTTTGTTTTAAGCTCCTCCAGCAGCGAGGTGCCTCTTTGCATGCTGCAGGGGCACTAGTCCCATGTGGACTTAGAGGGAAGAGCACCTTTTACTGAGTTATCAACACTACTCCTGCAACACCCATTTTTTTCTGGGAAGCCCCCTATTCAAATACAGACCCAGTCCAACCCTACTCCGTTTGAGAACTGGCAGAATCACAGCCACAGGTGGAATTTCAGAGGCTATATATGTGGCTCCAGGAGAGGGCTTTATTAACTTAACACACCCCACTTCCCTTTGAGTAATTTGTTTTACCAACCTCAGCGTTCTTCGATGTGCACACTCTATGAGGATCAGCACTATTCTGCGCCATTGGAAAACTCCCGTTCCAATCCTCCCCAAACCCCCTGCAGCTAGCAAAGCTTCCAAATAATAAGCTCCCTGCAGAAGTCTGCATCCTCACTACAGACAAATCCAGTCCTTGAAGAAACAGATGGTGTCAAGGAAGTGTCAGAGTGAAAGGATGTTATGGAAGATGGGATGGTGGATAGGGAGGAGGAGGCCAGCCCACTGCTAGACATAGCTGCTTTTCTAAGACAAATACCAGGCATGCTACAGAGCTTGGGAAAATGTGGCCATGGAAGGAAGATCCTATGGAAAGAGCAGCACCAAGAATACATGCTACACAAACTCAGAGGCCTGAGGAGCTGGGGGAAGAAGCAGGTATTTGGGGAAATACTCAGACTCCTGACTAGTCCTTGCAAAACTTCATCATCCCCCCTTCTATTACACCAGGCTCAACCACCATTACTGATGAGTACAGCTGGGAGCTCCACCACACTCAATGTTCCTCTACCAATCCCTGCCTAGAGAGCCTGGGGCTTAGGTAGCTGTGAGCTTCACCATATCCAGTGCTGAAATATCATTCCCTACTCTACTCCCAGCTCCCAGGCAGGATCAAAGTAGCTGTAAGCTCCCCCAGGGCTAGTGCCCTGCACTACACCAGCTCAGGCTGGGACTACAGTAGTGGATTTCTTAGAATTCACATTGCTAGCAACAAATTTTCATCAATGATTTAGAGGCTAACCCCTGGATAAGAAGTGAAAACAGGGCAGGAAACAGCAGCAGTTCAGAAGCTAGAGAATCTGGGGATTCAAGCCCACTTGCCCTCATCCTGCACGAACTGCATCTCTCATCTCCTCCAATGTGATATGCATGGTTCTGTTCCCCTCTCCACCCCTCGCCCCCAGCCCCTGTTCTTGATGTAGCTAGTGCAGATGGAAGAGGAAATGAGGAACGTTTCCAGTCTCACTGCGCCAAGCTATGGGGCAGCGACATCACTGGAATGACCCAAAGCCCCTTCTCCCCTTCCAGCTTGTGAGTTTTAGGAAATCAGTGGGACTGACCTGTGAGCTCGGGGAGGACGGGGGCACTCGGGAGAGGGGTCCGCTCTACACGGAATTCTAAAAACGAAATGTAAGACAACTTAGGAACTTGTAAAACGCCCCCGAGGGGGATCTGGCAGAGAGACAGCAGCATTGGGCCTTTCTGGCTAGAACACAAGGCCAGACAGAGATGGATGAAGTCACTGCAGCACCCGGCCTTCGACTCTTTATTTTAAATGAATTTCGAGTTGGATTGACAGCACTGGAGACTGAAAGCCTCTGCTTACCCCCAAAACAGGTACAGCACAGGCAAGGGCAGTGGAAGCTTGCCTTACACTGCCCCGCCCAGACCATGTGCCTCAACTCTGCTCTGGGGAGACCATCTCTAGGGTTGAAAGGGGAGTTGAGTCTCTTTGGCCCAGCCAATCCTTGGCCTCGCAGCTAGGACTGCCAACAAGTGCCAGTTGAGCTGGAGGTGACATGAACACCTGGTTCGCTAGGACTGAGACCCAGCAACTGGATTCACACAGACTACCAGACAGCAACTTTCAGTCGCCGCCAACATAGGTTGGGTTCTGACTAGCAGCTTAGAGGTGAAAGCTGCCAGAGCCCATTGCCAATCACCTAATGTCAGGCCTTTCTACACAATCCATTGGGGGTGGGGGGCAGAGGTCGGCAGGGGACACTCAGAGTTGCCACTCGTCCTGAGAACAGCAGGGCAGTCTTTTATAGGGTGGCCTTGCAGCCTGCTCTTTGCTTGTGCCGGAAGGGGAGGGAAAGGAGGCCAGCAGAAAGCTCAGAGCGGCTGCAGTGCATTCATCAGGGACCAGGCAGTGATGGTCACATATGGGCTTCAAGACAAGGAATGGGGCAGGTCAGGGAATGTACAAATATGCAGTGTTGTGAAGAGGGGTTTACTGGGCCTTTAAGAGATCCAGGATACAACTCACTGCATGTTAGACTCTCACATTTAGGAAGCCTAGGGAACTTCAGGCCCATTTAAAGCTAGCAGGGTTTAAGTCCTGCACTCTGTTTTCAGAAAGGTGGCGACTCTGGTGGAGAGACAGACACACACAGAGGCAGCAAGACAGGCGGAGCTGCAAGGGCCCTTCTGTGTAATAGCAGCCCCCACGGAGGAACCTAGCAGAGAGGGGGGCGCATGAACCTAGGACTTTTCCTGTCACTGGAGTGAGAGGATAGCAACAGCAGACGCTCACATGGCTACAGCCTCCTTCCTAACTAGACAGTAGGCTGTTCCCACCTATTCCAGGCCTCCGTCCCCTCCCACCTTCACAGATTTAAAGAAAGTCCAAACTAGGGCAAGAGTAAAACAGGCAGAGATTGGGTGACATGCCACGGGCTTCCCTTAGTGTGAGGACAAACTGGACGAATGGGCAGGAAGAGGCACTTACCGGGAAACTGATAAGTGTAGCCAGGCGCAAGGCCCGTGTAACTCCGACTGGCATAAGTGGCAGCTTGGAAACCTGGATAACCTGCCAGCAAAGAAGAGGGGATTGTTATACGAACGCACACAATTCCACTTTCGAGTTCCAGCTCTGCCTGCCTCCCCATAGCCTGAGCACACACTGTGAAAGGACCAAGTAACATAGCAGTTGAACAACACACACGTGTGCACACAGTGGTACCGTGCAGGAATTTGGGGAAGAATTTTAATGGAATTTTAATACATTGCCCCTTCGTGGTTCCAAACATTGTTACCCTGCAAAGACATGTAGATTTCCCTGTCAGAAAGCTCAAGGTCCCACAAACTAGCACTAGCAGGTTTTGTGAAAAGGGGCTCTGAGAGCCAGTGGGAGCATATGGATGACTGACTGGTATTAAATCACCCATCATCTACTTTAGTAATAGAGCTGCTGGCTAACATTCTGAAGTAGTTACAGAAAGAGCAGGTGGCTGAAAACATGCAGGCAGATAGCCTGTTCCTGGCACAGATCACGATTACAAGTCTTCCCATTTCTTGAGAAGCTGTCATGGCTAATCACCTACTTTAAACAGTCCCATGAGAAAGACAGCGGCTGACTAAGAGCTGAATGTTTGATTTGAGATCTCCCATGACAAGCGTACATGGATTTCCCAGTGACTCATTTGAGTCTGCTGGTTTAAAATACACGTCTACTCAAAAAAAAACCAAACTAAAATCTGAAGTGGCTTTGTGGGGTTCCAGATCTATTTTATCTCAGCAACTCCAGTGAGAATGTGCTGAGTGCAAATGCAAAGAAGAGGTGTTTTTCCTCTGCTTGCCAGCCCTAGCTGGGATCCAAGTGCCAGGCTGGAGTGTTCCTCCTCCAGCCCCACCCCCGGGGGCCCTGACCCAAAGGACAAGTGTGTTTGTTCACCTTAACCACACCTATAGTACAGGTTGGATGGGCTCACGTTGCTGGTGATGATCAAGCAAGAAAGACCCAAGTTTGACTCACAGACCCTAAAAGGAGCTAACTGGGCTGGAAGTCGGGGGGGGAGGGGAGGAGACTCACACCTTTTCCTTTGTAACCTGAACACATTTGCTCTGAAGACACAGAAAAAAGCTCCCCACAATGCCACACATAGACACTTCCTTGTCAGAGTGGCCGGTTTGATTTGTGACCCAGAATACGTTCCCTAAAGGAGGGAAGTCAGTGGTATACAGGCTCCACTGGATTCTCAAGGACATTTTTATCCCCCTTGAAAACAATGAGACTGTTTATTAGGATGATACACAGAGAACACGCTCTGCCTGTGTATTTGGGGTGATACTCTCCCCTTCACCCAACTGAAGAAGGGTGATTAATACTATTTGGGGCTCTTGAAGCAAACATTCATTGTAAAGTCTGGCCTAATACAGCAGTAATATACTTGGACGTGGAAAACTCTGCTTTTGGCCCAATTGTGTTGCCAGGGCATATACAGCCTTTTATTTGTGTTGAGTCACAGTGTATATCCTGTTCTATAGGTATTATATTGGACAGGAATTCCAATGATGCGTTAAAATTTCTCCCAACCCGACTGCATTCCTGTTCTTTTTGTGACTCCACCTCTAGAACCGTGCATACAAGGTACATCTACAGTTCTTCCACGCTGCCACCAGAGGGCGATTTGTGATCAGAAATTGATCCCAGCCCTCCTCCTCCCAGCTTCACTGCTGCTTTTCAAAATGGGGTCTGATGTCATAGATCCAATCTCTTCCTGAACAGCCTGAGCCACCTCCCCCATTGTATTAGACCTAGAAACGTAGTCCCAGAATAAAGCCTTCTGGCCCCTGAGCAGAGCGTCCTACTGCTGCTGCCACGTATGACGTGGGGGCTAGAGAGAAGGGTTCTCTTTTGCAGCGCTTACCCAGCATGCCAATCCCAAGCATGAAGGCATCCATCCCATAAGGCATCACTCGGGACCGCCCTCTCGCAGAGCCAGTGGGGGACATCACTTCCTTTGGCTGAGCTTTTTTACATTCCACCTGCCACGAGAAAAAAAAAAAAAAAAAAAAAGCGTCAGACCTTGGCCTTGACTTGCACAGCACATTTGCTCAGAGCACGTACAGTACCGCGGGCCACAGGCCAGGAGGGCTGCCTTAGTACACTGGAACCACTGCGCTTTCTCCGTCCCACGCACCACTCCCCAAGCCTGCCTCCCAACCTGCAGCGTCCCCCGCCCTGTTACTCTGCTAGAGAAGCAGCGTTGTTGAGTAGTTAAAACAGGTGACTAAAAGTTCTACCCGTGGTTCTGTCCTTGACTTCCTCTGTGACTTTCGGCAAGACAGCCTTGGAGCCTTAGTGTCCTCGTTTGTTACATGAGGATACCTGCCTCACAGGGGTGGGGAGAAGTTCAGCTAACGCTTGTACAGCACTCAGGGGTCACAGTTACAATTCCCAGTTATGGTTAGACTGCGTTGCCTTTTGGGCTCCAAATGCCAGCAGTGACTCCCCTCCTTGTTGAGGATCTCCTCCCGAGATCTGGGGCAGTGATTTCAGGGGTCCCATCTGCTTCCGACCTGCAGTCCCAGAGCCCCAGTGCTTTACCCCATCCCTCCACCGCCAGCTTTGTTCTTCACACTCACCATTTTATTATTGATCTCATGGAAGTGGATCTCACACACCTTCTCCACAATATCTTCACTCTCAAATGTGACAAATCCAAACCCTGAAGAAAGGGCGACACTTCCTGGTCAGGGCAGAAGTCTGTGTGATCAGTACCTGCCACTTGCCTGTCCCACATGCCCAGGACAGAAGGCAACCCAGAGGTTCCTGGGGTGGACCAGTTGGGTCATGGCAATACTTCCACTCCCCTCTGGTCTCCAGTAAGTCCTGCATGCATGCAGCACTCATATGAGGAGCAGGGAAGTCACTGTCCCCTCCCCGATTTCCCTCTCTCCTCGCAACTCCCAACTTCATTAAAGCCCATGACACTCATTGCTGATGGATTTATTCTATTAAACTTTGCTATTTTTCCAAGACAAACTAGATGGCTTAATGACGGATACCACAATAGAGGGTTCCAATCCAGCAGCGGTCCATACAAACAAAACGGTGTCCTACCAATGCCTGTTCACAATGTGAAATGAGTGTGGTGGGTCCCAGTCCAGTCCCCAATAGACAGGCACCCACATCACAAACATCACCATCCCAAATAGTGATACTCAGCACATTTCACCTTCAAAGCCCTACCTGTACATTAATTGGTCCTTACAGCCCTGTGTGCGACAGGCAAGTATCAGAATCACTATTTCTGGAGCAAAACCAAGGCATGGAAAGGTTAAGTGATTTGCTCAAGTTCACACCGTCCAACAGTATCTGAGGTGGGAATAGAATTTGGGAGTTCTTGCCTCCCAGCCCTATGCTTAGAGCACATCTCTAACTGACCCCTTTGCTGCCAGTCTTGGCAAAGGACTGACTGAGCTCCGGAGTCCAAACCTCCTTTTCACAGCCAGGGGTGGCCCTTTTGGGGTAGAGCGGAGGCATGGCTGCGAGGGACTTTGAGTGAGCTTGCATTGCAGCTGCGGCTAAATGGAGCTTTCAGCCTCCAGGGCTACTAACTGAGTCACCTTCACCAGTGCTAAAAATCATTTAAACACACACACACACTTTTCTATTTTTCAGTATTTTCCAAGCTGGACTGGACTCTTTCTATGAGCTTCTCCTTTCTCTCCAGGTAGACATTTATATTGCCCCAATCATGATTTGGTATCTGGGTGCCTTGGAAACTCAAAAGAAAGTACCCTACACTGAAGCCACGGAGTTGCAAATACCAGACCAGATGATTGGTCCATCTAGTCTAGTATCTGCCTCGGGCAGGGACCAATACCTGATGTCTCAGAGGAAGGCAGTCCTCCCTAGCCCTTCTGTAATGCTCTACATAAGAATGGCCATACTAAGTCAGACCAGTGGTCCATCTAGCCCAGTATCCTGTCTTCCAACAGCGGCAAGTGCTTCATAGGGAATGAACAGCACAGGGCAATTACCGAGTGATCTGTCCCCAGTCATTAGATCCCAGCTTCTGGCAACTGGAGGTTTAGGGACATGCAGAACATGGGGTTGCGTCCCTGACCATATTGGCTAATAGCCATTGATGGACCTATTCTTTATGAACATATCTAATTCTTTTTTGAACCCTGTTATATTTTTGGCTTTCACAACTTCCCCTGGTAATGAGTTCCACAGGTTGACTGTGCATATTGTGAATTATTTCCTTACATTTATTTTAAACCTGCTGCCTATTAATTTCAGTGGGTGACCCCTGCTTCTTGCATTATGTGAAGGGTTAAACAACACTTCCTTATTCACTTTCTCCAAACCATTCATGATTTTATAGACCTCTATTATAACCCCCTTAGTCATCTCTTCTCTAGGCTGAACAGCCCGTCTTTTTAATCTCTCCTATCTGTTTTTGTTGCCCTTCACTGTATCTTTTTAAATTCTAATACATCTTTTTAAGATAGGGCACGCAGTGCTCAAGGTGTGAGCATACCATGGATTTATATAGTGGCATTATGATACTTTTTCGTCTTAGTATTTATCCCTTTCCTAATAGTTCCTAACTTTTGGTTTGCTTTTTTGACTGCTGCTGCACACAGAGATGTTTTGAGATAACTAACCACAATGACTCCAGGATCTCTTTCTTGAGTGGTAACAGCTAATTTAGACCCCAGCATTTTGTAAGTGTAGTTGGGATTATGCTTCCAATGTGCATTACTTTGCATTTGTCAGCACTGAATTTCATCTGCCGTTTTGTTACCCAGTCACCCAGTTTTGTGAGAACCCTTTGTAACTCTTTGTAGTCAGTTTTGGAGGTCTCTACATTGAGTAATTCTGTATCATCTGCAAACTTTGGCACTTCACTGTTTACCTCTTTTCTAGATCATTTATGAATATGTTGAACAGCACTGGTCCGGGTACAGATCCTTGGGAGACCCTGCTATTTAACCCTCTCCATTGTGAAAACTGACTATTTATTACTACCCTTTGTTTCCTGTCTTTTAATCAGTTACTGGTCCATGCGAGGACCCTCCCTCTTTTCTCATGACTGCTTACTTTGCTCTAGACAAGTCCTGTAGAGGGCAGAAGTGCAGGATCTGATGATTTATTATGAGCTAGCCATTCCCCCCCACCCCCATTAGAGTGGGGCTGGAGGGGTACATCTATAAAATCAGGCAACCAGAATCACCTAAACAGTAAGAAAATGGGATGCACTGAAGGGCACCCTGGACAGCAAGAGTGAATACGTAAGTATAGCTGGGAGAGAGAGCCACATGCAGAAAGTGCCCCTGTGTGAGTCTGATGCAGACAAACACACTGTGTAAGTGTTTAGTGATGTACGTGAACATGGCAGTGGCCCAGCAAAGGCCTGCCACCATCACAGTGTAGTTGTGTCCTCAGGATGGTGCACACCATTGTGGTGTCCTCCTAAGAGTGGTAGTCAGTTAGAGGGCACATGTACAAGAGAATCAGGCACCTCCAAAACTAAGGCTCAAACTCAGTGGTCTCCTGTCTGATCCGAAGAGCCTGAATACCAAAGCCAGGCTCCCAGTCTGTAACCAGACTCCACAAATGGGATTTGACGAAAAGGTGACTTGGGAGCCCCGGGCTGAGGAAGGGGTCAGAGGCAGGCACTCTTCTGGGTCTTGTGTCAGCTTCCCCAAGGTTCGGATTACTCAGGACAAGGTAAGACACACACAGACGACTGGAGCCACGTAGGTAGCTGGGGAGGGGAGGAGGCTGCCTCCTCTCACATATCAGCCACTCGGCAAGTTTACAGCACAGGAAACGGGCTGGACAAAAGCTCTCTGTGCTGCGAGGGACTCTGCTAAAGGATGCGGATGCTAAGGGATGGGGTGATGGGAGGTGAGATAAAGAGCAGCTGTGACCTGCATGCCCTGCTGCTGGCCACGGGACACTAGCTTCCCCTCCACCCCCATCACCACAAACACACACACACGCTGCTCCTGTCATTACGCAATCCTCTGCCAGCTCTCCACATACACAAACACACACGCTGCCAGGGTGCTGCCCTCACCTCGGTGTCGGTTGGTTGTCTTGTCAAACATCAGCATAGCATCATCCACCTGCCAGGGACACAAAGGAGGAAAAGGCTCAGATCAGGTTATTACTGAGAAAGAGCTCTCCCCCGCTCTCCCTCCTTCCGGCCGGCCCCATGCCAGAGAGAAACGAGACACCCACCTGCCCCCAAAGCGCAACATGACATTAAAAAAAAATAAAAATCAACCATTCACTTACCCTTGGGAGGCCCCCAAGTGCCAGGGCCCTGACCCAACAATGGGACAGGATTTCCCCCCCGCCCCCCATTAAAGCTTCCCCACTGTACTGAAGGCAGGGACTCCCAGCCTGAACCAACGGGCCCATCTCCATCCAAACTTTAGGGTGCTGGAACAGGTTCCCACCTAGCCATGCTCCTGGGGAGGGCAGGAACTTTCCTTCCCACTGAGCCAGGAAGCAGTCCTGGACAATTTGCCTGCAGCTCCACAGACAGACAGAGAGACTGTCTCGGTGTCCGTGTGCACAAACCAAAGCCTGAGAGGGGAGAAGGAACAAGAGGCCTCACAGAGACGGAAAATGGAGGCCTCAGGCACAACAGAGACTCTGCTTGGGGACTCTGGGAAGCCACCAGGGCTGGTGCAACCATTTAGGCAAACTAGGCGGCCGCATAGGGCGCCTAGTGGTTGGGGGTGCCTAAAAGCCCTCTCAGGCAAGGAGGTGGAGTGGAGGTGAGCTGGGGCGGGGGGGACACGGGGAGGGCCGCCCACAGTAACGGGGGGGGGGGGCGACACGAGGGGAACTGCTCCCCGCCCCAGATCACCTCCACTCTGCCTCCTCCGCTGAGCACACAGCCCCCACTCTAAGTCTCCTCCAATTGGCGCCGCAAGCCTGCGAGGGGAGGAGAATTAGAGCGGCGCCGGCGTGCTCAGCGGAGGAGGCGGAGCCAAGGTGAGCTGGGGCGGGATCCCCAGGCGGGGTTAGCTGCCGTGGAGGCAGGCTCCCTGGGTGGAGTTAGCTTCCGGGGTGGGAGGGGGGTGTGTGTGTCTCCCTGGGCGGGGCTCCCTGGGCGGGGTTAGTTGCTGCGGTGGGGGGGGATAGCTGCTG